GGGAAAGAGCTTTTCTTCCTTCCTTGGCTGTTGGCTAGTTCTCTTGTTTGTTCTGCTTGAGTACTTTTTTTTTATGTAGCTGACTGGAACCCTGAAGAAAATGGTGAATGCTTGCTTCTTTTTTAAATAGATCATGCTCGATGTCTTATTTTTCATTAGGTTGAATTTGAAGATGGATCCCAGATAGCAATGAAGAGAGAGGACATCTACACTTTAGATGAAGAGTTACCCAAGAGAGTGAAAGCTCGTTTTGTAAGTGCTGGATAATCCCTCTGAGGGATCTGCCATGTGAATCTCTCCTCCTCTCTCACTGTTTCCCAAGCCCAGAAGGAAACATACTTAGGCTTTTGGATTGATTTTGAAGAAAGCCAATGCAACTTTTCCCTTATTGAAATCTGTTTAATCCAAAACTCAAATTTGGCCAGAAACAGGGAAACCGGTGCAAGTTCCTCATCCTTCTTTCTAATGAGGTCAAATGATGGTTCTTTGTGTTAACATCTACTGGCATACAGAAAGTTATTGAAAGTTATTGAATATGTGTCCTATGCAAGCTAACTGGGAACGTATAAAGATACCATCAAGACATTTACAATCTTGTTAGTGGAAGCAACATTAAAAGAAAGCTGTCAGGGCTTCCCTGGTGGTGCAGTGGTTGGTCCGCCTGCCGATGCAGGGGACACGGGTTCATGCCCCGGTCCGGGAAGATCCCACATGCCGCGAAGCGGCTGGGCCCGTGAGCCATGGCTGCTGAGCCTGCGCGTCTGGAGCCTGTGCTCCGCAACGGGAGGCCACAGCAGTGAGAGGCCCACCTACCACAAAATAAAAAAAAAGAAAGCTTTCAGTAGGAGATTAAAGGGGACTCAGCATAGCGAGCATCTAGTTTCCTATAGCCTTATCATATACAGTTCACCCTTTAACAATGCGGGGGGTTGGAGTGCTGACCCTCCACACAGTCATATTACAACTTATAGTCAGACCCTTCCTGCCCACAGTTTCACATCTATGGATTCAATCACTCAGATCGTGTAGTACCATAATGTTTATGATTAAAAAAAATCCGTGTATTAAGTGGACCCATATATATAGTTCAAACTCATGTTGTTCAAGGTCAACTGTATTAACTTCTCTCTCAGAAGCTTATTAATGTTTGTGTCAATTTATAATTAAACTAAACTCTCACTTTTATAACAAAAGGAATAAACAAAGCACAAATACTAGTTGTGGGAATACTAAAGCAGTTTTTTTTACAAAAGAAAACGTTATTAGTTTCAAGCCCTGTACATACCATTAAAAGACAAACATGGACAAATAGTCAAAACTGAAGTTGTTAAAAAAATATAATTCACAATAACTTAGTTTTCATTACTGTATCACAATATATTTACTGGATCCTGAAATGAAGTCAGTTTTACTCATTTAGAATTGCATCTTGTGCATCTGTGAAATGATAAGTCCTAAACTAGGAAATTTGAATGAGGGGATTTTTCTGACTAAAATGAAAATTTTTTTCTGAATAAATGACATCCTTAGTTTTCATTGCATGCTAATGATATACTTTTATGCAGTGATAGAGCGACTCTAGATTACTTTGGAAGAACATGGGTTTCCTTAAATGTTCAGTTGTATATTCAGCTCCTCTCCTGTCAGGTGGGATCCTGAGAATAGGGTAAGTGCATCAGGTGTAAACTGACTTTTCCTTCTCAGCTGCATCCTTGAGGGGAAGGTCCTTCAAAGTGAAACAGTCAAGAGAAGAGTGATAGTAACAGCACTGCTGCACACCCAGTGAGGAAATGTGGCATGTAGGGGACCCACACACCTGAAAACAGATTAACCCCCAGATAATAAACAGCAGGGAAAGGGAAAAGAAAATATTCCTATAGTAAAGACATCTGTTAAACCTGAACAAAGACCTAAAAACCTGGATAATTTGTCAGTGTTCTAGGTCTTGAAATCTCTTGAGAAAAACTTTCCTTTTCAAGATGCTGGAGGTGACTGCCTCTCATCCTGTTTCTCCTATCTTCCATGGATTCTCTGTCCCCTCCCATTCCCTCCCCCCTTTTTTTAAAAAAAATCTCCTAAAGATTTAGAGGTTGGGAAATGGAATAGGTAGCCCTCTGGAAGTCTTTCAGGTCTTTGATTTTCTAATCCATGTATGGTTAAACATCCTACCAGCTGGGTCTTACAGATTTCAAATACCATTTCTTAATCACATTCAAAGAAAGCTTTTTGCTTTCTGCTCTGATCACAATCTCTGTTCCATAGTAGATTTGGCTCCAATACCAGTATGCTTTACCATGTAGCTTTACTCGAGCACAAATTTTCTAAGGTCCATTTCTCAGAACAGTCACACCAAATTGAACTGCTTTTTAAAAATTCTCATAGAAAATTTTTAAATTAAAAAATATATAGGGCTTCCCTGGTGGCGCAGTGGTTGAGAATCTGCCTGCCAATGCAGGGGACACGGGTTCAAGCCCTGGTCTGGGAAGATCCCACATGCCGCGGAGCAACTAGGCCTGTGAGCCACAACTACTGAGCCTCCATGTCTGGAGTCTGTGCCCCGCAACAAGAGAGGGCGCGACAGTGAAAGGCCCGCGCACCGCAATGAAGAGTGGCCTCCGCTTGCCGCAACTAGAGAAAGCCCTTGCATAGAAACAAAGACCCAACAGGGCCAAAAATATAAATAAATAAATAAAATAAATTTAAAATATATATATATATAAATCACATAGATACTCTGAATCTAACCTGTTATGTTGAGCCTAGTAGAAAATTTCTTGAGACAAAATCCAGTTTGCTCACAGTCCCTAAATCCAGTTTGCCACCTCTGTTTTTACTGAATCAAAGACTTACATGCTTTTGTTGTAGAAAACCAGCTTTTTCTTAAGGTCTGTATATAACCCTCTGGCCCTTGGCTAGTCTGTCCGTGACTGCTATTTTTTTTCCAGTTGGCGAAACAAATCTAATTGGAAAACTTATTGATGGAAGATACTTTATAATTAGAGAAATCTTTTGGGTTTTTTTAAGGCGGGGTGGGTTGCAGCCCCCGCTGGGAGGCCTTCATGTTTTAATGACTTCTGCTCACCCAGATATACGCTGACTTGGGGAGAAATTTTTCTAAAGTGTCAGCAGTCCGCCTCAGTGACTGTGCTGGTTTCCTTCCCCCTAACTTCAGAAACAGCCCCATTACCTTTTATGGTCTCACAGAATAACCATAGCAATGGTGTATAATTAACTGGTGCTGCTGGTAAACTGGTTTTATTATTGTATTTAAGAGGCTTACTTTTGCTGTCCTCACACAGTGGCAACACTTTCATAGATGTTTTATTTTCTCCTAACTTTAGCACTTATAAAAGGGAAAGATTACTCAGAGGTAAGTGCTTTGCCAAGAATGAATGAACCAAAACTGTTTTATCCTAATGGCAGAGGGTGCCCATCCCATCCACAATCTCTTACTTTTCTTCCTGAGTGAAGCTAGGAGCATCTGGGGGAATCCATGGAGGGAGTCTATCACCCTGGATGACCATCTCACAAACTAGCAGGGAACATGCCCAGCTTTGCACTTGGGTCCATTTTTAGTTTTCAAGCTTCTTTGTAATTGTTCCATTGTTTGTCTCTTCTTCATGATTGACCATGTGCTTTCAAGCCTTAAAAGCTGGACCCTGCCTGTGTCACTACCATGGGAGGGGGCCTCGGTAACACAGTTGGTGTCATCTCAGTAAAAACCAGTTGGGAACAAGTTCGAGGGGCAAAATAGGAAGTTAGGAAGGAAGAATAGTACTTTAAGCTTTACGTGGCGGGAGGAATCAAAATGGTGGAGGAATAGGACTTAGAGCTCACCTCCTCCCACACATATATCAAAAACACATCTACAAAGTGGAACAATTCACACAGAACATCTACTGAACACTTGCAGAAAACCTCAGATTTCTGAAAACACAGAAAAAACTCCACATAAACCAGGCAGGAAAAAAAAAAAAAAAAAAAAAAAAAGAGGAATTGAGATGGGACCTGTGTCCCAGGAAGGGAGCTTTGAAGGAGGAAAGGTTCCCTCTCCCTGGGAAGTCCCCTCACTGGTGGGGAGATCAGCCTGGATGGAGGGGGAGCTTTGGAGCCACAGAGGAGAGCTCAGCAACCAGTTTGAGGAAGACAAAACAGAGAGTGACCTACACAGGTGGTGTGTAGTGCTGCCCTGAACTCCCCAGCCTGAGATGCTCATCTGCCAGGGCAGGCAGGGGCTGGGTGCTAAAGCTTGGGCTTTGGAGGTCAGACTCAGGGAGAGGACCAGCACTGGCTGCACGGAGACAGCCTGAAGAGGCTGGAGTATGGCAACTGAGGATGCACTCAGAAGAAGCCTGGGTCTGCCAGAGAGGCAAGGCACCATTGTTGGGAGATGCAGAGGAGAGGGGCAGGACTTGCCATAGGAGTTTCTTTCCCTGCATGCACTCTTAGGCAACAGGACACCACCTACATGAGTTCTGGGGGCAGGCACGAGCCACTGCTGTCATCATGAGCTCCAGAGGTGGGCATGGGCTGCTGCCGCCACTAAGAGACCCATGAGCAGGTGCCAATCGCTGGCCCTGCCATCTTGCGGGCATGCAGGCCACTGCTGGGAGACCCACAAGTGGGCACTGATCACTACCCCAGGGTACCAGGAGTGAGCATGGGTCACCACACCTGCCCACCCCATATCAAGGGGATAACAGCCAGCACACGCTGAGGAAAGAGCAGGAAGTATCCAAACTAAAAGCAGCCCCTCGATTCCAACAACATGGCAGAGTAGAAGGACTGCAGCTCACTTCCTCTCACAAAAACACCAAAATCACAATTAACTGGTGAACAACCATCGACAAAAAAGACTGGAACCTACCAAAAAAGATATTTTACATCCAAAGACAAAGAGGAAGCCACAACGAGATGGAGTGAGAGTTGTGAGCCTCACGTCATGCTCCTCAGCCTGAAGGTCTGGCATTGGGAGGAAGAGCCCCCAGGGCATTGAGCTTTGAAGGCCAGTGGGGCTTGAGTGCAGAAGTTCCACAAGATAGGGGGAAACAGAGATTTCACTCTTAGAGGGCACACACAACGTGCACTGGAACCCAGCACAAAGCAGTGACTCCACAGGAGCCTGGGCTAGACCTACCTGAGGGTCTTGGAGGGTCTCCTGGAGAGGAAGGTGTTGGCTGTGGCTCACTGTGGGGGCAAGGACTCTGGTGGCAGAGGCCCCAGGGAATACTGATCAGTGTGGGTTCTCTTGG